TTGCAACCTATAAGTTAAGGACTGTTATGTTAAATACACAAAACCTTGTGTTCATTTAACCCTTGCTGTGCTGTCTGGGCAGAACAAATATACTGGTTGGTTCCTAAGTTTCAGTGAGTGTTCCACTTCTATGCGTTGTGAGCTTTTCTTTTTTTCGTGAAGACATTGGGATTATTATGCTTTGAACAAGAGTGTGTAGATGCTACTGCGTCGAGAACACTCGGGTGCCTGTGGGCGTCACTGTTGTTAACTGGACAGGTCTTCAGAACATTTCCTTAGATACTGAAACTTTGGGTAAAAAGGAATTCCTCCCTGAGATGTTACAGAGGGTGCCTTAAATAGCTTTCTTTTTATTTCTCTTAATTTTTTAAATGATTTATGTTTGTGTGTATCTGGGGCAGGTATGTACAGGTGTCTGTTTGGTGTTCATAGGTATCAGATGCCCCTAAAACCTGAACAGAACCCATGTCCTCTACAGGAGCAGCTGATATGCTCTTAACTTCTGACCTATCTCTCCAGGCCTCTATTTATTCTCTCTTGTAATGCAGCTTCGTTTTGCTCCTGAAGCTCCTGACTGACCCACATGAATGCTGAGGAATTTCAGGTATGCATGACCACACCTGTCCTAAACCTTATATTTCCATTTTTTTTATAAGATACCAAGAGAATTCACTCATTTACTGTACTGGTTTGTAGACGAAAAACATTTTCTACACTATCAACCTTAAATGTACTGGCTGGGTTTTGTTTCCATTCTTTGTCAAGTCTTCCTTTGCCTGGCACTTACAGCTCTCACAACTAGCTTTTTTGGTTTAGTACATTTATCTGTAGAAAAAGTTAAAAATCTACAAGTCAGCTTGCAATGAACAACAGAATCATGGAAATAAGTTAATAAATGCTTCTCTTGGTGGATAGGAGCATTAATCTCAAGACAAAAAAAAAAAAAAAAAAAAAAAAGACGTGGGATTAGCAAGGAAATCTACCTTCACATAAATCTGTGTTTTTTGTTTTGTAGCAAAGAAACGTTCAAACCTGCAGAGGAAACCCTGACTTAATCAGCATGCATAACTGAGGCAATAGGAGTCATTGTTTCTGGTTGCTACAGACAACTTTTCAGGCCTTCTTGTGTAGCACCCAGACTTACACAATATTTGCATAATTCCTTCTTATCACAAAATGGTTGACCCTATTCTTTTTGTTCCTGACCACAAGTCTATGAATGTAATATCTTAAACAATTAGAACTCTTCACAGTCATCACATTTTTTTAATTATTACAATTTATTCACTCTGTATCCCAGCTATAGCCCCCAATCTATTACCCTTTGTAGTTTCAGCTTCTTTTTAGTAATTCAGATCCACAGAAGTATCTACCATGCATATATAGACAGAATTATCTACCCAACTCATTTGCTATCCTGTCCTCCTCACAACCTTTGCCATTGAATGCTGACTTTCAGATTCAGGGTCCTTCTATATAGCTGATCAATACATTGGCCATTTCAAGAAGAGCTTTCACTCAGTCATGACAGTTCACGATGTCTGACACCCTACCTCCACCAGCATATGGAATGTCATATGTCAGAGTCTCTCCATGTGAATGAGTTTTCCTCACTGTGCTGGTCTTAAAGTGTCCCTTATCCCACTGCATCCAAGGAGAAAGCAGAAGCTGCAAGGTCCTACACTGGGTATTGTCCTGCTGATCCATATTTTAAGTGTTTTATGTTGTTGTTTGTGTGGGTGTGTGTGCGTGTGCGTGTCCGTGTTTGTCTATGTGTGTATGGTTTTAGGAATTAAACCTATGGTCTTCTGTGTGTCAGGAAAGCACACATAAGAACTACATCTTTAGCCCTAAAAGAATGATTTTTAATATTTTCATTTAGGCTCAAACTTTACCATTCTCCAGAAAAATTATTCTCCATGAACAAAGTCATCTAATTTTCCAGGTGATGTTTTCAAATGCCTATATAGATGGTAAGCTTATTTATTCTATTTCCTCAGGAAAAAAAAAAAATTTAAGTTACAGTGATATCCCGGGGAGGCAGCCCAGTGTACTACCTAACAGTACAATGACTGAGTTCAATCTCCAGCAGTCATAAAAAGCTGATAAACTTGATTTTATAAGTTTATGTATAAACACATTTCTATTAATAGAACCACATTATAATAATTTCTTTAAGAACATCATTTGCTTTTATTTCTTGAAGCAAACTAATTCACACCAGTGATTTCCTTCTATGTGATAAATGTCAGAGAACCCAGGGTATTTACTCTGAATTGTTTGTTCTAAGGGCAGCAGATGGCACAGGGTACTGCATGAGGCGCTCTATATGGCCCTGAAATGTTAAGACTAGACACTGTCCAAAAAGTATTGACAACCGTGGTCAAATTTGCTCAAAACTTTCTCTCCTTATAAGGACAGCCCAGCATTAGTTATGGATAATTAAACTACTACTATGTTTACTGTGAACAGAAGTACACATGGTATTTTTTATAACCACTGCCCCTGTGCACATCCAAGAACAAAATGTGTGACTATGCTAGAGAAGTTTCGTTCTCTCTTTCAACAGTAGAAATCACTACTTACACATACAAGATCAAATACAAAATTTCAATCAAAAGCATTTTTGTTCTACCTGATGGTTTAAATAAATACCTTCCATTAGAAGAAAGATTAGCAGTAAATCTATTATCTATTTCCTTAACAGGCCAAGAGTTCTAAAGTCAGAAAATCTAGTGGTGTTCAGCATATGAAAATAGAAACCCTTTCAAATAATTAAAACAACACCAATAACAAAAGCAGAACTGAAAACAGAATTCAAAGTATTGCCAGCTAAGTGTTATTATGGAACTGGGCCCACATCTCAGAGTCTGGATTTTGTTTTATACTTTAGTCTTCTACCATGTTGCCAAGGAAGTTAAAAAAAAGAGAAATGAAAGTTGAATGGAGGCAGAAAAGGAAAATATTAGAAGAGATAAAAGGAGAAAAATTGTTACTTTAAGAACCTCTCTCAATCAAATGGTTCTGCATGAAAACATTATTTATCTTTATTCAAATGTACTGTGATCAAAGAGTGTATCTTTTAGACTGCTGCTCCTGAAAAAAAAAAAAATACCACCTCAGTATGTGGCCCTAAGAAACAAAGTTAACATAACCTCATAATTTTAGTAGCTGAGTGGTATCTTTTTTATTATAAAACATTCAAATTCCCACTAAATATGAGAGGCTGGAATAGGCTTGATAACTTATCCTTTCTCAATCACTTCAGTGATGTAAATCCTTGGCTTTTGTTTTAGAAAGTGGTAACTCATTATGTTTACATCTTTTTGTAGATGAGTGCTTTTATCTATTCTCTATCCTTTAAAATGTAAAAGCAAGGGGTTTTGCATAACCTGTGGTAGAACATGTTTGTAGACACAAATAATACCACCTCCCAATTACTGTTCATGGTGCACACTTAAAAGAAAATGTTCAACACTGGTGTTAACAGCTAGAGAAGGAAAGAAAGGACATGGCCTTACCACCCTGAATGCATCCCATCTCATCTGATCATGGAAGTTAACAGAGGTCCGGCCTGGTTAAAACTTGGAAGGAGGAAAGGAAGAGAAAGAAGCAAACAGAAATTGCACATCAGGGGATAAAAATGAAGAGGACAAAAAAAAAAAAAAAAAAAAAAAAAAGACATACGTTTTATTAAGAGCTTTGCAAACTTGCTGAAATCCCATTCATAGAAGTGAAAAATAGGCTCATAGATGTTGGGAAGCTAAAAATCTTCCTCTGCTCTACAGAGAGCTACTGTAGAACTGATTGATGTCTTACAACAAGATGAGCTAGAGTGTTGTACAGTTTAATAAAGTCACCCAATCTCAGCAGGTGGCAGAAATAAAGGATCATGACCATCATGTTCACTAAAAAACTGTGAAAAGCAATCAAGACCTGTTTCTAAAATATTTTGTACCCAGTGGTCTTGGACTCTTAACCTACTACTTGTCCTAAAAGATAAATACAAATTCATAGCATTATTTCAATATAAGATTCCCTAAAGGGCCAAGTATAAATATCTTTCTCAAAATATCTATGAATTTGCTCCAAGGATACACATAGCAACATATATCACCAAATAAATAAATAAATAAATGATCATATGAAATAACTACTCAAATTCTAGGAGAAATTAGTTTAATGACTTAATCATTTATAAGACTGTATTAATATAGTATCAAACTTCAGTTCTAGATTTTTCCAGTGATTTTCTTTTAATTTCTGGTTGGCTAGAGGTAATGGGGTGAAAACAAGCATAGATCAGAGGAATTCTGAAAGAAGAGGGGAAAAGAAGAGCACAACTTTATTGTAAACACCAGAGAATCACATGAGAAACAGATGCAAGAATTAGACCCTAGTGTGACCATTTAGAAACAGAAAAGATGATCCCAAATACTAGTAATATGAAACATTTCCACATTTGCTTTAAGGAAACAACCTTTGTTACTTTGAAGTAGTATTTACTTGTGGTCATGTAACCTATATAAGTGTACAAATATTACCACAATGAGAGCCCAGAATGCAAAAGAGCATGAATGGGATACTGCAGGGAGTGATACGATGATCTCACAAAGAAAAAAGCTGTAAATGACTTCTACAAATGACTGAGTGATAATTGTGTACATCATACTATTTGAAGAGGTTAGATATCTATCATTTCATGAAAGACAGCCCATGAAAACATATTTGTATATGTCTGGGTGTCTGAAGATTAGTGACATCAGCCTAAAGATGCTTTAGAAGAAAGACATGGAAAACTAAATGTTAAAGTAAAACAGAGCAAAAAGCCATTCCAAATTAATCTACATGACACTAAATATGAGAGCATCATAGGTCTTGTATCTTCCCAAGGATGATAAAATAGTTTAGGATGCGTATATCAGCAGAAAATGAGGTTTGAACATATCTAAGTTCCCTTCAGTTTCCAAGATTTTATGAAACAGATACTTAGAACTTACCTAAATATTTTGGATAAAAATAATCCTAAAAAAAGAAAACAAAAAATGAATATATTAAAAATCCTAAATTTCACCACAGAGTTAAAGATTAATTTTCTAGTTCATTTTTAAATTAACATAAAAATAATTTATGTTCTGTGTTTTCACATCCTATTTTTTTTACAAGAATAGATAGTCAATGCTTGACAAGTATATATCCCTGAGCTTAAAACACTACTGTACAATTAAATATCATTTTAAAGCATTTAATTTGAAAAGGTGGTACTTAAGATGATAAATATAACAATGACCTCTTTTTATAATCTTCTAATTTTTCCATGGTAATTAAACATCCATTTGGTATATATTTTTGTTGATGATGTCTCTCTACATAACCTGGCTACCCTGGAACTCACTGTATAGGTTAGGTTCACCCCAAACTCACCATCATCCACCTTTGTCTGCCTCCTGCATGCTGGGATTAAAGATTTGTGTCATCATCCCTGGCCTTAATTTGATATATTTTATACCATGATGATTATCTACATCAGGGTCAACAATGAAAAAATTTGAAGGAAACTCAATTGAACACTTACCTTAGCTCTAAAGCACATGTAACACCCTCCTTATAAAGTGGTAGGTACAAAAAGTAGTGATCGGAACGTGGACAAAGGAATGTATTTTATTAAGGGGAAAATACTATAAATGTCTTATAGTAAACTTGTAATATACCAAATATGTAACATAAATAATAAAAGAATATTTTGTGCCAAACCAAAACTTCTGCACAAAAAATATTTAAAGTCCCAGCTCAGTCAGTAGAACATGGCTTTTTCCAGCTCAAATCCCTCACTCTTTCCTCCTGTCACATATAAACCTGCACAACAGGTTTCTACTGGCTTATGAGAAAGGGGCCTGACACTGAATGATTCAGACAATAGTGTTGTTTGCAGCAGAGCCAGAACAATAAGGAGAAATGGGGTTCAAGAATTGGTGATATGCTGATGAGAAGAATATTTTAGAGACAGTGAAGAGGTAAGCAAGAGAGTAAACATTGTGAATATTGACTAAGGGTATGAGGAATGTGGACAGAGAGTGGGTAGAATTGTCAGCAAAGCCAATTTGGGGAAGGTGAAGAAACATGAATGAGTTTTCCTCCTCCATCTTCTTCCGTTTTCATTCTTTGTTCTATCTCCTTTTCTCTTCACAGGCCGATCGCAGAGCAAAGGTACAATTCAGAAATATACACTCAAGTGTTTATGGATGATATAATCATGTGCCATGAATGCTAAAAACATTCTATCAAAACCATTGAGTAGATGAGGTGGACAGGCAAAATAAAATGGAAGAATTGATCATTATTAGAGGGAGGTGGTGTGTTGGGACTTATTGTGCTGTTTGCTCTACTTTTAAAAAAATGTTCATACTGGGAAGAAATACATGTATCTTACAAATAGCATATTCTTCCTAGGAGTACTTGTACACAGTCCTTTCTAGTATGAAAATGTAGCGCGGAATACATATGTAAAATGCTATACAATAAGAAAGTCTAATACATCATGCAGAATAGAAAATTTTGTATTATTAGTGTTTGTGCTGGCTAATTTTATGTCAACTTGACACAAGCTAGAATCATCTGAGAGAGGGAAACCTCAACTGAGAGGTTGAGGTAGGGATGTAGGCAGAACTGTAGGACATTTCCACAATTAGTGATTGATGGAGGAGGTCCCAGCCCATTGTAGGTGATGGCACCCTGGGGATGGTGGCCCTGGGTTCTATAAGAAAGCAGGCTGATGATGGAAACAGATGCAGAGACCCACAGCCAAACAATAGGCTGAGCTCTAGGAGTTTTGTGGAAGAGTGGGAGGAAGGATTGAGGCAGCCAGAAGGATCAAGGACACCACAAGAAGACCTGCAGAGTAAACTAACCTGAGCTTACATAAGCCAGACCTGGACCCCCTACACATATGTAGCAGATGTGCAGCATGGTCATCATATGGGTCCCCTAACGATGGGAGTAGAGCCTATTTCTGCCTCTGTTGCCCGCCTTTGGATCTCATTCCCCTAGCTAGGCTGCTTTGTCTGGCCTCAGTGGAGAAGATGTGCTTAGTCCTGCTTTGACTTTAAGTGCCAGAGTGGGTGAGTATCCATTAGGGACCTCCCCTTCTCTGGAAAGGAGAGAGGGCAATGGGGGTGAGGAGGGCATGAGAGTGGGACTGAAAGGAGAGGAGGGAGATTGTAGACTGATGGAAGGAAGGAAGGAAGGAAGGAAGGAAGGAAGGAAGGAAGGAAGGAAGGAAGGAAGTTGGTTGAACAAGCCATTAGGAGCAGTCCATAAGCAGCACTCCTCCATGCCTCTGCATCAGCCCCTGCTTCCAGGTTCCCACCTGGTTTGAGTTCCCACTTCAGCTTTTCTAAATGGGCTGTAATTCAGGATATGTAAGCCAAATAAACCCTTTAATCCCCAAGTAGCTTTTCCTCATGGTGTTTTATCACATTTGGTCCCAATTATAAACAAATTAAAAATTAAATGTTGGGTATTTGTATAAAATTTCTTTGAACCGATCAGACCCATATATGGATAGAAAGGGCTACAGGGATAGTCACAGAATACACAAGTAGCTACAGTTTAGGACGAATTTTGTAACTGTGGACAAAGTGTTCTTGCTCATTATCACTCAGCTATTGTCATGGTGCTGAGAGCTGTCACAGAGGCATAGGAGAAGTCTTAGACATGTCATCTCCCTCTTTTCCTCCAGATTATACATTCATCTCAGGAAACATATCTGAGGAAATGCTAAAGAACGTGAGATTTAGACTCTCAAGCTGACGCCGCTTCTTGAAGGTATTAACGCTACTCTTGCTAGCTACAGGCATGGCTACAGAACGCACTCCCCTAAAACACAGAGTGGGCAGTCAGCCCCATGTGGCTGTGTGATAAGTCTTTATGGTTACGTTTGGGGGATGGATAACTTGTAAATTCTTATACACTGAAGATTACTGCTGGTTTTCAGTACCCTAGGGAAAGTTTACAAAGATTATAAAGAACACTCTGCAGTCATGACACTGTACATGGTAGTTCCAGTTAGACGGCCTCATTTCTAGAAATCTCTAAAGATAATGAAGTTGTGCACACCAACCTATAATCCCAGTACCTGGGAGACTGCAGCAGAGGCAGGAGGATAGTGAGTTCCAGGCTAGCTTGGACTATAAGTAAGAGACTACCTCATGTAAAATTAATCAACCAAACAAAATAAGTGAGAAGCACAGTGATGATACAAATACACATGGTCACTTAGGTTTCCCAGGTGTCTTCACAGCACCAGTTGTTGATAATGAGACTTAAGGAAATCTAATTAGGTCAGAGCACCTGTCCTTGGCAGTCATCCTAAAGTGTCAGTGGCAACTCAGAGAATGAGCTACAAAATCTTTAGCTCTCAAACGGAACCAAGGAGACTTAAGCCAGCAACATTCAGTCTGTAACTATACATATCTAGATGTGTAGACTTGACAGCTTCCATGAATTCTCACCGTTTCGGGATTATTTTCAAAGACCTCCCTGGCTTCCTCTTTATTGCAGAGTTCTTCAATGCATTCTCTTTCGAGATTGCCCTTTTTAGTTTCTTCAAGCAAAGAATTTGCACGGCGCTTCCTCACCAGGACTTGTGAAGCTCGTTCCTTTGACAAAACTGTAGAAATGTAAGCTTATATAAGTAAAAGTATTCATTTTCCCCCAAAGATATATCATCTTACTAAACAATAAAAGCTGAAATGATTTTCTGCCTATGAAATGTACGCCATTTAAAACTGATAGACTGGATCTCAGAAATAGGTAGGTACATAAGCCATTTGGGTAACAGCTCAAGCAGCAGATTCAGCACATGTCTGTCTGTACAGTGAGACACTGCTGTTTTAACATGATCTATACAAATTATCCAGTTCATGCTTGAGGCCAAACACACTAGATGATATTCAATATTTCCTTTAACTATGTCTATGCCATGCTGAAATGAGGTGCCAAGAACCTGAGATACCGCCTTTAAAGCAAGAGTAACAAACTCTCAATTTTAGTGGAAAATGTTTGGAATCTCTATGGAGGCAGAGAATTACAGATATGAAGTTCGAACAGCCATGTGAGAGCTACCCTTCATCTATCTGGCAAAGTAAAAATCTAGGGAAGAAGGAAATTTGATTAGCACACAATATAGAAGGCAAACAGAAAAGAAAAGTAACTTTGGTTACACAAATGTTTTAAACAGATGATTAACAACAAAAGTAATAACCAACTTCAGTGGTAAGTTTGAAAGAAACAAATTGCAACCACAGTTTTTAAGTCATTTTTGTAAATTAAAAAGGCCAATTAGAAAAGAATGTTTGCGAGGCTGTATACAAAAATCACTTAATATAATAAACAAAATTAAAAAATAACATAAATATTGCTGTAAGAGCAAAAAAATAGAAACCAAGCAGACATGTGAGGAGGAATATATTAAACAATATGTTATAATACTGGTATCAAGGAATAACACAGAACTTTAAAAAGAAAGCAGTCTTAGGTAACTACCTCCAAAACAAAAATTAAAATGCAAATTTTAGGATGTTATTCCCTCAGCATAAACTTTTACACACACAGCAGCAGCAGCAGCCCAAATTGCAATTATATAAATATTATGTGGACAGATATATAGAAAAAAATTGAAAATATTCTTAAACTTCCATACCAATTATATTTGGAGAAAACTTTTATATAATATTAGTATGCAGAATAGACTATAGGTTTTAATGAAAAATTTTCAAGCATAAACAAAATCTACAATTTTTTTAGGTTTTATGTATAAATAATTCTTTTTGCTATGAAGAGAAGCAAATGTATAAACAGATGGGTTTATTTCATATCCCTATCTCATAACATAATAACAGTAGATACTCAAAAAGCTCGACAAAAGGAAGATGTAAAATGAACATGGCTGATTGATAGGCAGTCTACTTGAACAACTAGGAACTCTTTCAAGTGTGAAATAAGTAGCCGAGCATAGCGGTGCACACCTTTAATCCCAGCACTCAGGGAGGCAGAACTATGTGGATCTCTGTGAGTTTGAAGCCAGCCTGGTTTACAAATCGAATCCAGGACAAGCAAAGCTATACAAAGAAACCCTGTCTCAAAAAACAGTGAAATAAATTAGAGCTATAATAGCAGGGTACACATAATCTGATTGGGGGAAGGTGAAAACAGGGGGACCTCTGATCAGGGATAGGGGAGTAAGACAAATACAGAGGGAAAAATAAACAGTAAGGATATCTGAAAAAGTCATAATAAACATTATTAACTCTCTGCCTAAAAATAGCATATTACATGAAAACATATAACAGATTTAAAAACAACAAAAATAAGAAACAACCAACACCAAGTATGAGAAGCCCTCCTTTGAATTAATGATCAAAGTTGTCCAAAAGACTCCAATAGCATTACAAACTATTGGTATTGCCCTTGGTCGGTCCCCGAAGGTGAAAGTTAAATCCCTATTGCTGAAGACACTGTGCAGTTTAGACACAGGGCCCATAGGCTCCTGAAGTGGAACTGGCAAGTATTCCTCCTCTCTGAGGGCTAGCTTTTACAATACCAGAAGCTTCCAAAGGAGGAAAGCTTCCAAAAGAGAGAAGAGAGCAACAGTCCTACTCAGCTATTATGCCAATAAACCACAATAACAACCACCATGGGAAGATGACCCTAAACATGGAATAGTGACAAGCATACCATAGCAGTGACCCACAGCTCTCTAATTGGACCTAAGGCTTCTTCAATAAGAAAGAAACAAAGCCTGGTATCATGCCAATTACCCAAGGGTAACAAAATCATGGATCTTAGAAGAGTACCTTTAACCACCACTTTACTAACCTAGCATAATCTATAACAACATTCTAAATATTTGTCCTTATACACACCAATCATCAAAGAAACTCCTCATTGCAACACATAGAGACTATTATAGAAAACCACAACTAATCCAAATGCAGACTGTGGAATCTAGTCCCAGTCGATACACCCACCAGGCAACTTCAGCACCTAAGGCTCAGGGAACATTGTGTGGCAAGATTATAAGAACCAGAGGATCAGAGTTTGCCTTGAGATTGTGTCTCCTAGCAATGTCAGAAAGTACATCCATAAAGTTTCATCAACATCACTGCCTAAACATGACCTGAACAAGGATAACAATAGTCATTCCAAAGTGGACGGGGGTGGGGGGTGGAGGGGGGAGTCCCGAGAGACCTCAACCCTACATAAAGAACTACAGACAACTAATGCTGAGCATGACAAAAAACACTCTGTCTCCTCAAAGACCACACTAATTAGTTATCCAATATCAAATGGTTAGCAATGAAAACATACATACGATAACATTATACTGGCAAAACTGGTTATACTTTGGAATATATAGGTATATACATGTAACAATATTTACTAAAAAGGCAGGGAGGGATTGATTTTTGAAGGAGAAGGGCATACAGGAGGGCTTAGAGGGAGGAATCCAGGAGAAGTGGTTTTATTTTAAGATCACATAAAAAGAAGTAATAAAAATAACTGACATATGTAATTCTGCTTTAGGTCTCTACTTTCCAAAACAGAAATGTAAAGGCGATAGCAAAGTAAATAGTTTGGGTTGTATTTATAACTCTTATCTCTTGCTATTTCATCACCACTCATTAAAAGATAAAGATTCAAACAAGGCTTTGTGTGCATGAAGGATAACAGTGAACTGCTATCTGCCAAGAGGATTACTAGCTGATAAATGGTGGCAATGTCAATAATCCATGTTCTACTAGAACAGCTGCTTTGCTACTTGTGTTTAACCACACTATTTTGTAATAAATATGGCAAAAATGTCGAATTTTTGAACTTCATGGTAAATATGTAATTCTGTCCAAAGAAAATTGTAATATTTTATTTTTATTAATTACAACAGCGAAAATTTTGGCTCAATAACAACAAAAAAAATCAAGGTTAAATAAATTTTTAAAAGACATAAATATTCACTCTACAGCAATTCTTCCATTAAGAATCCTTAGTCATCAGGGAAATGCAAATCAAAACAACCCTGAGATTTCACCTTACACCCATCAGAATGGCTAAGATCAAAAAATCAAGTGACAATACATGCTGGAGAGGATGTGGAGAAAGGGGAATCTTACTCCATTGCTGGTGGGAATGTAAACTTGTACAACCACTTTGGAAATCAATCTGACACTTTCTCAGACAATTAAGAGTGGTGCTACCTCAAGACCCAGCGATACCACTCCTAGACATATATCCAAAAGATGCTCAAGTATACAACAAGGGCATTTGCTCAACCATGTTTGTAGCAGCTTTATGTGTAATAGCCAGAAGCTGGAATCGACCCAGACGTCCAACAATGGAGGATACAGAAATTGTGGTACATTTACACAATGCAATACTACTCAGCAATTAAAAACAAGGAAATCATGAAATTTCCAGGCAAATGGTGACATCATCCTGAGTGAGCTATCCCAGAAGCAAAAAGACACAAATGGTATATAATCTCTTATAAGTGGATATTAGACATATAATACAGGATAATCATACTCAAATATGTATACCTAGAGAAGCTAATCAAGGAGGACCCTGGGTAAGATGCTCAACCTTCATTCAAAAAGGCAAACAGGACAGACATTGGAAGAGGGAGAAAACAGGGAACAGGACAGGAGCCTACCACAAAGGGCCTCTGAAAGACTCTATCCATCATGGTAATAAAACATAGGCTGAGACTCATAGCCAAACTTTGTACAGAGTGCAGGGAATCTTATGAAAGAAGTGGGAGTTAGAAAGACCTAGAGGGGATAGGAGCTCCACAAGGAGAGCAACAGGATCAAAATATCTAGGCACAGGAGTCTTTTGTGAGACCGATATTCCAACCAAGGACCATGCATGGAGATAACCTAGAACCCCCACACAGATGTAGCCCATGGCAGCTCAGTGTTCAAGAGGGTTCCCTAGTAAAGGGAACAGGGACTATCTCTGACATGAACTCAGTAGCCCGCTCCTTGATCACTTCCCCCTGATGGGGGAGCAGCCTTACCAGGCCACAGAGGAAGACAATGCAGACAGTCTTGATGTGACCTGATAGAGTAGGGTCAGATGGAAGAGGAGGAGCACCTCCCTTATCATTGGACTGGGGGAGAGGCTAGAAGAAAAAGAGAGAAGGAAGGTGGGATTGGGAAGGGATGGGGGATGGGGCTACAGCTGGGATACAAAGTGATAAATTATAATTACTAAAAATAAAATTTAATTAAAAAAAGAACACTAAACATGTCATCTACCCAGTAAGATGACTCAGCGGGCAAAAATACTTTATATGTATATTAATCTAATTATGTGAATTGACCTGACTTTGACCCCAGGAATCTATATAAAGGCAGCAGAAGAAACTCCACAATACTGTACTTTGTCCTCCACCTGTGGCATTCTCTCTTCCTCTCCCTCTCCCCATCCTCCCCTTTATAATCACACACACACAGCTTAAAACGTGCATATATATTTAAAAAGAATACTAATCTTGGGCTCAGGGTATCTCACAGAAGATAGGGGCAGAAAGAATATAAGAGCATGACCTTGGGTAGAAGGGCCGTACAGCTGTCTTAGGAGCATGACATGACCAAGTCACTCAAGGAAGTA